ATGTTGGAGTTTATTTCGCAAATAATAACTCATCATTGAAATACAAATCATAAACACAGCAAGGACGAACATTTTTGACAGCCCGCGCGACACGTACTAGATCGATTAAAAGGGCCGACCGACTGACATATTTTGAGCAATGAGTAAGAAATACGAACAGCCGGACGTGGAGGGCGCTTTACCAATTCACTGGAGCCGATGCAAACACAAGCATTCCTCCATGTGGTCACACTTGTTGACCATCAGGTTACAGAGAATCACGATATTACCTGGATATACTAAATTTTTCACGTGTAAATCGGATTCAAATCATGAACACACATCAATGATTGAATACAATTCTTTAAAGCGAGAAAATTTTTTTCGATATATCTGGAATAAGCCACTTGTGTATTGGGCTTAGCAACAAGGCAGCTTTCCAGTTGTGTGAGCAAAAATTCAGTTGATGTGAGGGCCGTGACAACAAGTTGAGAGGTTTGATGTGAGCATATAACTAACCTTGAAATGTAGAGGTTGGTAAATGATGAGGATAATACGGATTTAATAGAAACGAATTGATTTCCAAATTGAGTGATAAGGGAAAGAATTTGTTCTTAAGGCCATTTCAGTCCCCGTTTCTCATGGTTATTTAGACAAAAAGTCTTCGCAGATTACTCAGCTAAGGTTTGATAATCCTCGTGCGTTTCGCTCAGGCTGTGGCTAGAAATATTGCGTACAATTCCTTGGTTTGAATTTTAGGGACATTTTGAAATAATGTTGAACACATTCTCTGGATCCGTTCTACGTCGGTTGTTGATCTTCCTAATATCAGGCACCCATATGGTGAATGCTTCAATTGAGACGGAACGAGATATTAGGTTTTAAAAGGTAGTCTGTCTTTGGTCTGTTGAACAATAAATAACTACCAATAAAATTATTCTATTAAGGTTCAAGATCAGCTTTCTAAACTAGTCCGTCATAGTCTGATGGCAGATATTTTATGGGACGTTGGTGGAAAACGCAATATGATCTTTCCTCCATCCTCCCAATGTCAAACAAACACTATGACCTTTGAACAACTGTAAGAATAACGCTATGTCATTCCATTGTATAATCTGCACCATGAACCATTGGAACTATTTGTCTATCTTAGAACACGGGGTCTCAAAATGAATACTCGTAAAGTCAACTGCGGAAAATTTTTTGGTGTACGAACTGCTATTTTCGGAGGAGCGCATTTGAAATATCTGTCGATTTTTAGTACATGATCTTTCAAAATACGGTCTTCCAGACAATGTCACAAAAAACTGAAAACAGACAGCCTACTGAATACTTCGTCAGTAATGAAACAATGTCAACAAATGAAATTGATGCCTAAAACAACGGAAACAGATTTATTCCGCAGGTCGTTAGTGTATTTTACTGTGAAATACATGGAAAATGCGGATAGATTAGAGATCAAATGTTATGTGCCCTTATTCAAACGAGTTGATTAGATTTGCAGATAGAATATGGATCAAGTAATTGACGGTTACTAAGCGAGAGGATCCGGCTCACAAGTATGAATACTGGTTACGTTTTTATCCTAACAGAAACAACACGAACAACAGGTCCTCTTCTCCTGTTCTCGCCAGATCAAATACTTGTGCTGCCCATTATCCAGACTATAGATCATGTATTCACCACGGGCTTTGGGTTTCTCCAGTTCTTTCACTGATCGCATTTGCCATCGTGGGCCGAGTTTTCCGTCCAACTCCACCAGAGTTACATGTGCACTAGAGTCTGGATTTTCATGATCATATTTTTCTTGAAGCACTGCTAACGCATCCTTTTGTGTTTGTGGTGTCAAGTTGCAATCATACAATATCGGATCCGGTCTCCGGCGTCTTATCGCGTTACTGGAAATATTGAAATAAAAAAGTGAAACAGTTTTTCAGTTCAGTTCTGAAAATTACATTCCAAATTAATTTATGGCTACTCGGATAAACATTTCTCAAATGAAACTTTAATCCTTTACAATTTGGTATACTTATAGTCAGTTACAACGCCAAAGTAATAATAATAGAACACACCTCTGAGGTGAATCTGTCTTTACTACATGCATCTTTCTCGGATTGAAGTATCACGGGGTAAGCTCAGCATCCCCCCTCCCAAAAAAAACCTGATACTACTTAACTAAACCTGTCAGTCTCTGTACTTTGAATTGAATTGGTGGGTCACATAAGGCATCAAAGATAGAAGGTGAAAATATGGCTCATCAAAAAATGAAAGCAATTGATACTTTCCGGACACTGATCTATCGAACAAAAAATCAACGAAAATAAAATAAATTCGAATGATGAAACACTGAAGCAAATCGAACGATTATCCCTGTGTCCAAGCTATCTGCATTCAGAAAACCCTTGGCCCAATATTCATGGAAATATCTTGACCGGAACCGTTTATCATGTTCACCTTAGGGAATAAATGAATGAATGAAATAGGTAAATAATTTCAACTAATCGAGCTATGCAAATAGTAACAAAGGAAAATCCCACAGTTGATTTGGTGCCCATGACATGCCAAACTGCATGTCATGTGCAGTGACCCAGCAAAAATACCGCATGTTACCATCAACACATCGATCATTACCATGTTGTCAGCGTAGAAACTTACTCTCGAGCTTTCTTACTGACTCCAAGGGTAGTGCAGAAGTGCTCAAAAGTAATTTTTCCAGTGTTGTGCGGGTCGAATAGGGTTTTCCATTTCTACGTTAGACACACGTTTGAGGGAGCACAGGAGACAGAATGGGGATAAAGAAATGTGAATGCGAAACGGTTATCAGTGAAATTATTTCGGGTTCAAATGGAACATAGAAATAGAAAGATGTGCTAACAGCATATTCAATCAAATGAAACTTACAAGCGTTTTTTCATCGCATGCTAATTACGTAATTGCACGTAAGGTCCACAAATACACACCGTTTGTAATCCTTCATCACAATAACCCTAAATTTACCAAAATACACGTCAGAAAAAGCACAAAGCAAAGCAAAAACTAAAATGATGCATTTATGGAATGTCAGCATTCTCTATATGATGGCCACCACTGACTGTATTCCACAGGTGGTTGCTAACATGAAAACCTAGGACCGCACAGTTACCTCTAACATTTATTCATAGTATTTCTTGCAGTGTAATAGCATGAGAAATCTCTCTCGCATCGTTATAACCAGCGTGTAAGTGGAAGTTGGAATGCCATAAATGTATCGTTGATGCATAAACAGTTGTTACCTCAGTTAATCTCTTTTCCTAGTCTCAGTGATCAACTGAGTTCATAGCAGCAGAGGAGATTTCAAGGCCCAAAACCGTACCACGTAGAATACAAGTTATGAATCCTCAAAGCCCTAATCCAGCGGTGGAGAATTTTCGTGGTCTAAAAACCCCAACTCGTTTGCCCAACTGTTTCATTTTTGTTGAATGAGAGTACGCCAAACTAAACAAAGCGTAGCTAGTAACTCTTTCAGAAGTATAAGGTGGAAATCTTAGGTGTGTGTATGTGAGCATGTATCAGTACGCTTGTTCGAAACCAAACTACCAAAGTTTGAAGGATTGTTAAAAACAAATAAATATTGAGGAGGAACCATAACTGTTACCGTTAGGTTACTAGGGAATCAACATTGCAGAGCTCGGTGAGGGTCAAAATCTAGAAAAGTTAGTCGGGCTATGTAGCTACATAGACATTACCAGAGTTCACTCAACAACAAGTGTTTCATACAGTTATTAATTTAACTCGTGCGACACCGTGGCCTTTTTCAGATCTTCTGCTCTCCACACCTCACGGTTTGACGCCTAGCCACAGGAAGGAATACTGTATCAAAACACGACAGACAGTTCTGTAGTGGCATTCATTTGTCACTGCAACTAGGTGAATGCCTCTCGATTTCGCCGAAGGCGGGAGGCTCACCAGTTGTAAGATAACGAAACCCCAGTAGAAAAAATCATAAGTATTTATTGACAAAAATGATTTAAAGGTAATGTAATTTCATTTTGACAATATCCTGTGTGTCCTCCTTTAATGTTATGCACTTGGGTCAATCGTGTTGACACGGGGTCCACTAACTGCGTAGTCAAATCACATTGGTCTGTTTCCTCCAATACATGCTGCACCCTGGCCACTCACAACCATTGCCTCGGTAGCTAACTTATTTTTGTCTTTACGTTCAGTCCCGGTCAGTTGAGTTGTTACCGAATAAATTTGAATTTGGTACTCAACAATCAAGAATCGTTTAAATGTGAGAAAATAATATATGATGAGGTCTTTCGCTGCACTCAAGGTAGCATCAATTAAAATGGCTAAACAAGAGAAATAGGAACATTGCAGTGGGAGACTAAGTACGAGGTAGCTGTTCTGTATCCATGGTTATCTATATGCAAGTATGATATTCGGGTAATATATAGGATACCTACTACTGAAATACTTCAACAAGAAAAACCCTCAAGTTTAGTACTTACACAGTGAACAGCAAACTGGATGGATCGATGACTATGCGTAAAGATTTAGTCTGAAGGTTATTCGTAATTTCAAAAAATCAACAAAGTTAAATATTATTCAGTTTCGATGGAAATTTTTGTGATAATCCTTGCTAATCTAAGCTTGATACTCTACACTACTTAGTTAATTTGTAACGACATACTGGAAATGAAATTTTTTAGTAATTTCTTGTATGATTACTCGTGTACAAGTAAACCACTTACACGGATCAGAACTAACTAATCATGACAATATCGAAAGTCATAGAGAAAATAAGTCGAATGTGTTTTTTGATAATTTGATGAATATATAGATAGACAGATAGGTTAGGGCACAATAAACATCTATTTATTCAGCCTTATCAGCCGCCTGCATCATTTTTTGTGTCCCCAGTTGGACTAGAACCGCCAAACGTCGGGTTTAGAGCCGAAACCCTCACCTTAGAGCTGTGCGGCTGACGATCAACACTTTTACTGGATGACCGCCGTTGGTTCCCTATTATTCTGCACTCAATAAGTGACTTGAAACCTTTCCTACTCATTTGGTTATTTCCCGAACGTTTCACTTACACTAGCTTCTCTGTTGCTCAGATTACACGATATTGTTTGATCCAATCCGTGGTTGAAAACTTTTAGTCGGGAACCCCCTCACCCCCAGTCCACTCACCAACGCCAGCACACGCGCACACTCACATAACTTGTTGTTCATATGCCCGACAGTATTGATTCTTGCCCGTTCTCATGAACGCACTGATTTGGTCCGTTAGTCGCAGACATGATCTATACCATAAGCATACGTACCACACGACGGGATACCCTTACATGTTTTCTATCATCATATCCGTACTTGCGCACATGCATGCATGACACAGTCTGAACATGGGACCCGTAATCTTCACTCGATCAGAATGGTCCACCACTCCCCAGTAATCTTGTGCGTATGTGATTTGCCAGTCATCTTTGCTGCCACCTATCAAGATAGATTTAAATGTTTCGCTGGCTCTCGTACTGTCGGATTATCGTTTCCCCCGGATTGTCCCCTTGTTTTAGGTTTTAGGTTATTGACCGCTAAATTTTTATTTCCGTACTACATCTTGGTAAATTTGTTTTGATACGAAGCATTTCGTGTAGTCTCAGGTGAAGCACCATTTCATTTGGGATTGGTTTGGCTGTGGGTTTATAAAAGCTACTTTATTGTTCTCTTGGGAGAATTGATTTTCACACCAGCGTGAACAAAATCTCAAGGAAACGGAACTTACAATTACAAAATCTAGAACCCATACCTGATTGGTATTCTTTCATTCTATCTTTGAGTTCTCGAGTTCGGTCCTAAGTTTGGTTAGTAGACCAACTGGAACA